CCTGCTGAGGTGTTAGTGGGGCTTGATATTCAGCCTTTTCACGGGCATGAGTGCATTCAGCTTCGGCTTTCTCCTTGAGCTCCTTCAAATGAACAGACAAGTTTCTGAACTCTTCTGCTTTCAAAGTCTGCTCAGAGAGCTTCCGAGTGAGTTCACTGCACTGATTTCTCAGTGTAAAAAGCTCATTTTCATCTCTTCTGCACTGCTCGGCTGCTTTATCTTTTAGTACTTCAATAGTAACTTCCCCCTCAATCTTCAATACCATCAAATTTGCTATCTCTTCTTCATGCCTAGCCAACAAATCTTTCAGTTGTTCAACTTCATGGGCACGTAGGCTTTTCTCAGAGCAACTTCTTTCTGCATTTTCAGCCCTTGTTCTGTACTCGTCAAGCTGAACTCTCATCGCATCATTTGTGTCCATAAGGCCCCTACTTTTAGCTACAGAAGATTGTAACTCTGATTTTAGGGCATCAAGACTTGTCAACAGTCGGGTGTTTTCTTCTACACACTCTCTTTCATTAGCTAGACAATGATTCAGAGCAGATTCCACATCAGTATGCTTCTTTTGAAACACACAAAGGCTCTTAGAGCAGCAGCTAAGTTGCTCTTCAAGGTGGTTTATATAGACCTCGGACTGGATTTTCATGAATATGAACTGAACATCTGCAGCTGTTAAATATTCAAAAATTTCATCCATCATAGAAGACTCTTGCTGAGCATTTCTGATGAACTCCTCGTATTCCAGAAGTGTATGTCCTTGAGATAACTTCTTAGATTCCAGGTCAGAGACCATTTTCTCTAAAATTTCGAGTTGAGATTTCTGCTCACCGATGCTCAGATGCTTTGCACTTAACTCAGAGGCAAGTTCTTCGACTCTGCTTTCTAATTTGTCTCTTAAACTTCTCTCATCTTTCAGATCTCTCAACAAATCTGAATTTTCATCCATATACTGTGCTCCTTGAGCAACAGAGCCATTCAGAGCCATTTGTACCTCAAGATGTTTCCGGTGGAGTTCCTCAACATAGGCCTCACACTCAATTCTTGTAAAAACAACTTGGATATCTGCTGCTATGGAAAATCCCACCATTTCAGCTAACTGAGATTCCAGATCAGAAATATATGAAGAATCTCGATGAGAGCTACTAAGGGATTTCTCATATCTTGACAAAAGATTAGTGTGGTTTGAATTCTCCAACTCCAGATCAGAAACCATTTGCTTGAGACAGACCAGCTCAGAGTTATTATTCTCATCAAGGCTAAGCAACTTGGAATCTTTTTCGTTTAGTTCAGAAATGAGATCTTGAAGTTTACTTTCGAGCTCCTGCCTTGAGCTCCTTTCAAATCGTAGCTCATGATCAAACGTTGTCCTTAAATTTTCATGATCTGTTGAAAGCCTCGATGTCTCTTGAGACATTTTCTGAAGAGAAACCAGCAAAGTATTCTTTTCTGCAGCTAGTTCTTCCATAATCAGCTTTGTTTTTCCATATTCAACAGCTAGAGAACTACATTCCAAAATTTCTTGACCAAGTTCTTCATTCTTAGCCAAGAGTGATCTCACCTCATCTTCCAAATAATCAAATCGAGAAAGAAATTCTTTGTGACAGCTCTCATGGGTTTGTTCAACTTCATTCAGACCTTTGACTCTGTCCATGACAGACTCAGTTTCCAACTGAAGTCTCTGGAGGAGGGCATTAGATGCTTCTAGTTTAGCAACCAGACATTGTAGATCATCCCCATACTTCTGTTTGATCTCTGTAATATCAGATTCTGCAGCCTTCAAAGAAAATTCTGCCTTGTCCTTTTCCTTCATTAGATCCTTATTCTCCGTCAGAAACAAAGAAATCTTTCCACAGGTCTTACACAAGATCTTTTCGAGCTGCTCTGCTAAATCACATGACTCCAAGTCAAGAGCCTTAGTTCCCTCCCACAAGGACAATGAGATGAGCTGTTCATTGTAGCAGCGCAAGATATTCATCAACTTCTCCTTCAGACCATTGAAGTTGTTCTGCAAATTTCCATTTGCAATAGATAGATCATCCAACTTACTTCTCATAGCATCAAACTCTGCTTGCAAACTAGAAATACTTGTCTGAAGAACACTTTTCTCCCGCAGTTCGTTCTCCAGTATATTCGCAAGCTCCATTTTCTCAGCAACACATGTATCATATTTAATCTTATAACTCCTGGACTCCAACATTACAGATTCCATTTCATCAATCTTCTGCAGGAAGAGGAGATTTTCATGAGTAACACTCTGTAAATTTGCCTCTAACGTTTGATTCTGCAGAACTGCATCATTCCACTTGCCAATGCATGTCACCCTTTCCTGGTTTAAAGAGCAAACCTCGTCCAAAGCAACATCCAGCCTCTGTTTTAGTAACTCCTTGGCCTCAGTTGAAAGCTCCAGCTGCCATCCAAATTCATCCATCTTCTCTTTCATGATCTTCATGTCAACACTTGCGTCAAGCAGAGTTTCTTGTAAGATTTTTGAGAATACCTCTAAGTACATGTTCACTGAGTGCATTTCATAGAGTTCTGCTTCAACTTTTTGATAAAGGCCCTCTTGCACATGAAGAGATCTCTTCAAATCTTCTAGAAGAATATCACCCCCCAAGCCTCGACCCTTCATCCCCATTTTCTCATTCTGCAACTGTGATGATTTCAAATCATAAGTCTCGTGTTTCTCTGACTTAGCAGTCATTGTCATTTGAGAGAAGTTGTGAAAGCTTTGTGCAGGATCAGGAAAAGCTTGCT